ATCTGGGGAGGCCCTGCTCTCGACCCCACCGCTATCACAAGTGAGGCTGGTGGGGACGAGGAGCAGGGCCTTCTCAGTGGTGGCCCCTCACCTGTGGAACTCACTCCCCGGGGAAATCAGAGCATCACCATCCCTCCTCTCCTTCAGGAGGAGGGTGAAAACTTGGTTATGGGACCAGGCCTTTGGGCAACCAGGCAATTAAAGACCAGCAGGATGGACGAAATGGTATTAAAAACGGATCTATGAGACAGCAAACACTGACAATGTAAGGGAGGAATCTAGGTTTGTATTGATTTTATTGATTTTTATTGGAATAATGCATGAAGATGTTAGTAATTGTGAATTTTATTGTAAGTTGAGATGATTGTTGTGATGCTGGCATCTAATCGTGCCTTTACTGTGTAAGCCGCCCTGGGTCCCCTTCGGGGTGAGAAGGGCGGGGTAAAAGAACCCCAAATAAATAATAAATAAATAAATCCTACTGGGATCTGAACGCATTATTCACCAATACATCACACAGTTCTAGACACTTGGGAAGTGTCAAACATGTGGTCAAATAAAAGAAACAGCATCGTGATCTTGTGTGTTGTGTACTAATCTTGTTTTGTATCTAATAATAATAATAATAATAACAATAATAATAATCCCAGGTGACAGCAGAATTGACAAGAAGCAACTGGAAAAGCTTACATGATGTGAGGATTTAAAGATTGAATTGCAAAGACTCTGGCACAAGCCAGTCAAGGGGGTCCCAGTGGTGATCGGCACACTGGGTGCAGTGCCTAAAGACCTTGGCCTGCACTTTGAAAACAATTTGTCAACTGCAAAAGGCCACCCTGCTGAGATCGGCATGCACTATTCACAGATACATCACACTGTCCTAGACACTCGGGAAGTGTCCGACGTGTGATCGTATACAAAAGCCAGCATAGTGATCTTGTTTGCTGTGTACTCATCTTGTTGTGCATCAAATAACAATAATAATGATGCTATTTGTAAAACAAGGTTATATCCAGATCTTAAAAAGACTTCATTTTCATTGCATTCAAAGAAATCATTGCACTATCCTAGGGAAGGCATGGCTGAGATACTCCAATCTGCCATGAGCCTTGATCTCAAACACTGACAGGTGTGTATTACAGTCTAAGGTCAGAGTCCACAAAAATAGAAACAGAACATAAGGGAACTAGCAGAAGCAAAAGACAAGTGTCCAGTCCAGGTTCAAAGCCAAATAGCAGAGTTTCAAGCAACGAGGTTGTGTCCAGAAGCCACAAGCCGTAGTCCAGGAGCTGTCCAAACTCCAAAAGGTACACGAGAGACAAGGTACCAAGGTCCAGGCATGAACACAGAAGTTGCCACCAGCAATAGGATAGCACACCGCAAAGCCTCAAATGCTGCTTTCACGGCTGATCCCTGTTGCTGGCCTTCTTCTCTTATGTTTGGCCATCAGATTGAGTAGCTCTTCCTTCTGGACATGGCTGAGGAGTTGCTGTTCCTGGCTGAGCCTTCACTCTGCAAACCCTCATCCACGACGCCATCACTGAAACGGACCATAACTTTACATTCACGGAGTCATGCTGTAATATTGTACAACCCTCATTAAGACAATTGTAACACAGTGATATCTTGACTTAAGAGTTTAACTTGTTTTGTGGCTGAGATCTTAACTCAAAACACTCTGATCTCAAAACAAAATTCCCATTGAAATGCTATTATAATAATAAATAACAAAACATTATTTTTATCCCACCACCATCTCCCTGAAGGGACTCACAAAAAACACTCAGTAGTGCAACAATATACAAAATACAGCCAAATACATAGAGATATAAATATTATCCCCCCCCCCCTCACAATGTTGTGGCAAGGAAGCACAAAGCGAAGAGGCAGAAGCATCCTTTTCTTCATACTGTACTCATTCCAGCCTCTTTCTCTTGCTCTCTCTCTCTCTCTCTCCCTTCATGAAGACAAATATACCGGGAAGAAAAACCACACAAAATCAACTAACCCAAAATTCCTCAAAGTAAACAAGTACAAAAATGAAATCTATATGCAAGAGGGGGAATATGTAATAAGAAATTCAATGTGCAAATTTGATAAATGTGAATTTAATAATGATGTGTGTGAATGAATGGAAGAATGGAAGGATGTGTGGTTGGAGTTAATAATTTTGGAAACACCAGTATAATATTAAGGCCTGCAATGACTAACTACCTGCTTGCTGGACTTGCTAATGAGAAACTCTGATAAGAACTGGAACAGTGATAAAGGAAATGTTTGCAACCTTCCTTATGTTAAGAAGGAAGTCAACATAAGATCAACACCAATCAAGAAAATCAACATCTGGCCAGGATGGATTTATCAAAAACAAGTCATGCCAGACTCATCTGATCTCTTTTTTCGATAGAGTTACAAGCTGGGTAGATGCGGGGAATGACGTGGATGTGGCGTACCTGGATTTCAGTAAGGCCTTTGACAAGGTCCCCCACGACCTTCTGGCAAGGAAACTAGTCCAATGTGGGCTAGGCAAAACTACGGTGAGGTGGATCTGTAATTGGTTAAATGGACTGAACCCAAAGGGTGCTCACCAATGGTTCCTCTTCATCCTGGAAAGAAGTGACCAGTAGAGTGCCACAGGGTTCCATCCTGGGCCCAGTCCTGTTCAACATCCTTATTAATGACTTAGATGAAGAGTTAGAGGGACGATCATCAAGTTTGCAGATAACAGCAAATTGGGAGGGAGAGCCAAAAGATCTTGGAGACCTCATGGACAACAAGTTAAACATGAGCCAACAATGTCATGCGGAGCCAACTAACAAAATGTTCAACAGTGACAAATGCAAGATACTCCACTTTGGCAGGAAAAACGAAATGCAAAGATACAGAATGGGGGACAGTGCCTGGCTCGAGAGCAGTACGTGTGAAAAAGATCTTGGAGTCCTCGTGGACAACAAGTTAAACATGAGCCAACAATGTGATGTAGTGGCAAAAAAAGCCAATGGGAGTTTGGCCTGCATCAATAGAAGGATAGTGTCTAGATCTAGGAAAGTAATGCTATCCCTCTATTCCGCTTTGGTTAGACCACACCTGGAATATTGTGTCCAATTCTGGGCACCACAATTCAAGAGAGATATTGACAAGCTGGAATGTGTCCAGAGGGAGCAACTAAAATGATCAAGGGTCTGGAGAACAAGCCCTATGAGGAGCGGCTTAAGGAGACTGGGCATGTTTAGCCTGAAGAAGAGAAGGCTGAGAGAGATATGATAGCCATGTATAAATATGTGAGAGGAAGCCACAGGGAGGAGGGAGCAAGCTTGTTTTCTGCTTCCTTGGAGACTAGGACGCGGAACAATGGCTTCAAACTACAAGAGAGGAGATTCCATCTGAACATGAGGAAGAACTTCCTGACTGTGAGAGCCTGTTCAGCAGTGGAACTCTCTGCCCCGGAGTGTGGTGGAGGCTCCTTCTTTGGAAGCTTTTAAACAGAGGCTGGATGGCCATCTGTCAGGGGTGCTTTGAATGCAATTTTCCTGCTTCTTGGCAGGGGGTTGGACTGGATGGCCCATGAGGTCTCTTCCAACTCTTTGATTCTATGATTCTAATTTACAACTTTGAGACTACATCAACAGAATATTCCTATAAAAGACTCAGTCTAATAATGCTCAAAGTGTGGCAGACCTGAGGAGTCTGTTCCACCCGCTATGCTCTGCTCCATGGGAAGGAGAGAGATAGTGTACCTATGGAGAGTGGCAGATCTGCAAGGGAGCAGTCTGGTCACTTTGGGGCTTCTTTCTCAAGGGAAGAGGAAGAAGTGCGCTTTGGAGTCTTGGATTTTTTGCTGGGAGTCAGGTTCTGCTGTATGGAAAACAAAGATTTGGTCCTTGGCAGGCTGCTTCCTTGAAGCCCAAAAATCCTATTCTCTGGCACTTGCTCTTAACTCAGAATGCTGCTCGTATGTCAAAGAGAAACCAAGGCTGAGTGACAGTTCTTAACTCAAAATGCTCTTAAGTTGGGACACTCTTAAGTCGAGCTTCCAATGTATTGTGAAATGAAACACGCACTATACCCCAATAAGCATGAATGCAAAAAAAATGTCCAGTAATGTGTGGTGCGAAGTGATGTTCACTGATGTACAACGTGTGATCTTCTGCAATTGTGCCAGCTGGGGAGAACCACAGTGGCTTTTTGAGCTGCTGCATCATACTCTTGACTCAGCTTGGGAACAACTCCGACTCCAAGATCCCTTCCACATGGAGTGTTTTCAAGCCAGGTGCCACCCATCCTATATATATATGTGCCTTTCAGGTTTTCTGTCCGAAGCTCTAGGTGCTCTCACTGCCTACTACAGGGAAAACCAGCTGATCCCTAACCCATCTAAAACACAGACATGTGCTTTTCATCTCAAGAACAGACAAGCATCCCGAGCTCTGAGGATCACCTGGGAAGGAATCCCACTGGAGCATTGCAGCGCACCCAAATACCTGGGAGTCACTCTGGACCGCGCTCTGACCTACAAGAAGCACTGCCTGAACATCAAGCAAAAAGTGGGTGCTAGAAACAATATCATACGAAAGCTGACTGGCACAACCTGGGGATCACAACCAGATACAGTGAAGACATCTGCCCTTGCGCTATGCTACTCTGCTGCTGAGTATGCATGCCCAGTGTGGAACACATCTCACCATGCTAAAACAGTGGATGTGGCTCTTAATGAGACATGCCGCATTATCACGGGGTGTCTGCGCCCTACACCACTGGAGAAATTACACTGTTTAGCCGGTATTGCACCACCTGACATCCGCCGGGAAATAGCAGCCAATAGTGAAAGGACCAAGGCAGAGACATCTCCAGCTCATCCCTGTTTGGGTATCAGCCAGCACGTCAACGACTTAAATCTAGAAATAGTTTTCTAAGATCTACAGAGACACTCGCTGCAACACCTCAGCAAGCGAGAGTCCAAAAGTGGCAGGCTCAAACCCAGAACCTCAACCAATGGCTGATACCAAATGAGAGACTCCCTCCTGGGCACACAGAAGACTGGGCGACTTGGAAGGCGCTGAACAGACTGCGCTCTGGCACCACGAGATGCAGAGCCAACCTTCAGAAATGGGGCCACAAAGTAGAATCCTCGACATGCGAGTGTGGAGAAGAACAAACCACTGACCACCTGCTGCAATGCAACCTGAGCCCTGCCACATGCACAAGGGAGGACCTTCTTGCAGCAACACCGGAAGCACTCCAAGTGGCCAGATACTGGTCAAAGGACATTTAACCAGCTACCAAACTCACAAGTTGTGTATTTTTCTGTTTGTTTGCTTTGTTCTGTTAGAAATGTAATATAATGGACTGGCTGCTCTGACACGACAAAAAAATAAGTGAGGATCATAGCTCTGTGTGGCGCTTGGGGGGCTTCTCCCGGGAGGCCAGGCGTGGGACCGTCCCTCGGAGGTCACCCCTGGACAGCAGCCTCTTCTCCCCTTCGGCCTCCGGAGCTCCTCCTTCCATGGACTCCTTCTTCACTCCTTCCTTTTTGTCTCCTAGGACGTCCACCTCTCCTGGGACGTTGCCTACAGTCGTCCTCCCGCTGTAAATGGTGAATTCGGGCAGCGCGGGTCCCATCTTGCTCAGGAAGTCGTAGGCGGGGAGGCGGGGCTTCCAGTCTTCTTCAGACAGCACAGCTAGAAAAGAAGGAGGGGAAACAGAGCACAATAATAGTATTTATTTAATTGAAGTTGTTTATTAATACTGACACTATAACAATTTGCATACAAATCTATATCAATAAAAATGTAATGGTCGTTTGTGGGATTCACAGAACTCAAAAAACCAGTGGGCGAATGGGCACCAAATTTGGACAGCATACACCTAACACCCCAATGTATGTCCTTCACTCAAAAAATTGATTTTGCCGTTTGGGAGTTGTAGTTGCTGGGATTTATAGTTCACCTACAATCAAAGAGCATTCTGAACCCCACCAATGATGGAACTGAACCAAACTTGGCACTCAGTTCTCCCATGACCAACAGAAAATACTGGAAAGCTTTGGTGGGCAGTGTCCTTTGATTTTGGAGTTGTAGTTCACCTACATTCAGAGATCACTGTGGATTCAAACAATGATGGGTCTGGACCAAACTCTACATGAATACTCAATATGCCCAAATGTGAATACTGGTGGAGTTTGGGGAAAATAGAATCTTGACATTTGGGAGTTGTAGTTGCTGGGATTTATAGTTCACCTACAATCACAGAGCATTCTGAACCCCACCAACAATAGAATTGGACCAAACCTCCCAAACAGGACCCCCATGTGAGCCACAGCGACGTGTGGCAGCGGACGGCTAGTCTATATAAATAAAAATGTAATGTTCGTTTGTGGGATTCACAGAACTCAAAAACCAGTGGGCGAATTGGCACCAAATTTGGACAGCATACACCTAACAACCCAATGTATGTCCTTCACTCAATTTTTTTTATTTTGTCATCTGTGAGTTGTAGTTCTTGGGATTTATAGTTCACCTACAATCAAAGAGCATTCTGAACTCCACCAATGATGGAATTGAACCAAAGGTGACACACAGGACTCCCATGACCAACAGACTAGAAGGGTTTGGTGGGCATTGACCTTGAGTTTGGGAGTTGTAGTTCACCTACATCCAGAGACCACTTTGGACTCAAACAATGATGGATCTGGACCAAACTTGGCACAAATATTCCATATGCCCAAATATCAACACAGATGGAGTTTGGGGAAATAGACCTTGACATTTGGGAGTTGTAGTTACTGGGATTTATAGTTCACCTACAATCAAAGAGCATTCTGAACCCCACAAACAACAGAATTGGGGCAAATTTCCCACACAGAACCCCCATGACCAACAGAAAATACTTAAGGCCATCCATTCCAACTCTCTTCACCAGGGCAGGAAAAGGTAAACAAAGCCCTTCTGACAAAGAGCCATCCAGCCATAGATATAGATAGATATGATTCACACACACACACACACACACAGATAAAGTATTATAGATTTGAAAGAGACCCTTAAAGAAGGACAATGATATCTTGCATGTCCCAGGGTGGGCAAACCAGACACTCTCCACATCAACACTGACAAAGAAACAACAAGAAATACTGTTTACCCACAAGCAGAAAGACATTACATAGATTAGAAAACATTACTTTATTTTCCAGATCACCAGACTAGGCCACAGCAACACGTGGCAGGGGACAGCTAGTAACTAAATAAATCTATATTTATCTTCTGTATCTATCTATTTATATAATAAAATAAAAGTGAATGTATATAGTGTTCCCTCACTTATCGTTGGGGTTACGTTCCAGGACCAAATAGGGAACATAACACTTGCTTAACACCAAGTTCACTTGATACTATGGGTAGCCTTTCTTATTCACCCCAAATCACCCATAACTGCAAGCAATTGCGACCTAATGAGCTGAGCAATACTGAAATTTCTCTTTGGTGACTGTGGTTTTTTTCATTTCCAGGAAAGCATCCCTTCAGCTGCGGATATGAGGTCAAAATTTCCCCTCATGATCACAACTTCGCATATATAGGAAAACCCAGTTCTCAGTACGCCTGAGGCACAACCGGATGCAGACGGCAATTTAAGAAAAACTTGCAGAAATACTGCAAACAGAACCTCTCTCCAACAGCACCACATTCATTAGCCTGGAGAAATCCAAGCTGTTTCATGTTGCAACTCTGTTTTATACAGTCACCCCTCCATATTGGCGGTTTTGAGTTTTCTGGATGTTATTATTCATGGATTTGGTTAAAGAATACTCTCTCCAAGTCTTCCAGTGTGACTCCAGTGTGACTCAAGAGAGGAGATTCCATCTGAACGTGAGGAAGAACTTCCTGACTGTGAGAGCCGTTCAGCAGTGGAACTCTCTGCCCCGGAGTGTGGTGGAGGCTCCTTCTTTGGAAGCTTTTAAACAGAGGCTTGATGGCCATCTGTCAGGGGTGCTTTGAATGCAACATTCCTGCTTCTTGGCAGGGGGTTGGACTGGATGCCCCATGAGGTCTCTTCCAACTCTTTGATTCTATGATTCCATGGTCCACTTCCAGTAGAAACAGCCCATACAGTCATGCTGGAAGGCCTCCACATTCCTAGAAAACTCTCCTCTCCAGATAAAACAATTAGCAATTTCCTTACCAGCGCATTTTCACTTTCACAAGTGTTTTATGCTTCTGATCCCTGAGACTGAGAACTGGGAAGCCCTGGCCCTTCAGCACTCCAGTTGGAGGTCAGCTGTGACCAGCAGTGCTGTAAATTCGAAAAGGCACAAATGAAGAGCGAAAGAGAGAAACGTGCCAAGAGGAAGGCGCGTCAAGCCAACCCCAACCGGGACCGCCTTCCACCTGGAAACTGATGCCCTCACTGCGGGAGAAGATGCAGGTCAAGAATAGGGCTCCACAGTCACCTACGGACCCACCACCAGGACACTACACTTGGAGGACCATCATCCTCGGACTAGGAGGGATTGCCTAAGTAAGTAATGCCTCTGATCCCAGAAGATGTTTATGGCTGACTGCATTAAAGTCCAAAGGGGGAACCTAAGCAAAGCACGCTAAGGAATGGTTTTGGTGGGGCTTAAAATTAGGGATCCTGTAGGGAATGTGGAAGGCTGACTTTACCCTTTGGGTTCCAAAATACAAAGCATAGTGAAATAAGAAACACAACTATTTCTTTATATGGTGCATCTCCACGGATGTAATGATCAGACTTCAAGCAGAGGCCTTAGAGAGGAACTGAGCTCATACACATGCACACAACATCCTAAAGGTGCCAAAACATATATTTATATATATATATGCACACACACACAAATACTCATATATATATATTTATAAACACAGCATCCAAATGGTGTAAAAGTTACCCACACACACACACATATATATACACATACACATTTAGTAAACACATATACAACATTCTAATGGTGCAAAAGCATACACACACACATACATATATACACACGACATCCAAATGTTGTAAAACGTGTGTGTGTGTGTATACACACACACACACACATAGCACAGTACTTAAATGATGCAAAGGCTCTTATATATACAGTGTATGTATGTGTAATGTGTGTAATGTACATGAGAGAGAGTGTGCTGTGTGTGTGTGTATATATACATACACACACACACACGTTGTGTTTATACACACATACAAAACATCCTAATGGTGCAAAAGTATATATTTATATATACACACCCCCATATACACACACACACGTTGTGTTTATACACACATACACAACATCCCAATGGTGCAAAAGTATATATTACACACATACACACACAACATCCAAATGGTGTAAAACTAGTATATGTATGTGTATATATATATGCACACACACACAATACCTAAATGATGTAAAAGCTCACATGTATACACTGTATGTATGTGTAATGTGTGTAATGTACATGTGTGTATTGTGTGTATATACACACGTGTTTATACACACACACATACAACATCCTACTGGTGCAAAAGCTCACATAAATAGTACAAAAACTCTCGTGTGTATTTATATATAAACACAACATCCTAATGGTGTAAAAACTCATACATATAAAAGCTCATATATATATATATATATATACACACACACATATACACACACACACACACACAGACATTATAGCCTAATGGTGTAAAAGCAGCCTGCTGAAATCCAAGGTATTTGTGCAGCTCAGCTTTACCCTCCAGACTGGTGTATTTTTGCACAATGCTTCAATGCTTTATACTTTGCTGTTGTGTTCCTTCAAAACATTTCCGACTATTGGTGACCCTAAGGGACTTTCTTGGGCTGAGAGCGTGTGACCCACTTAAGGTCAACAAGTAAGTTTTCATGGCTGGAAAATGATTCGAACTCTGGTCTCCAGAGTCATCGCCCAACGCTCAAGCCATTATTCCACACTGACATACTTACCGCTTGGGATTTCCTGGCCGGCCTTCAGCTCCTTGATCCACGTTTGGACACTGGCTACCGAAAGGGATCGATCGGATGGGAAGGCGAACACTTGGCCCCCGGAATGGAGATTGATCCAGAGGAGGAGCGGAAGAGGAGGGATGGAGCTTCCAAAATAGGCCCTCAATATTCCTCGACCGACAGGTGTGTTCTTACTGTGTTACAAAGAGCGGCTGATTAATAATATAAACAGAAACCGTTCCCCCATCCTACCCACTGTTTTGGGTCGTTTTACTCTGAAGCACCATGTACAGTGATAGAGCTATATAAATAAAGGATAACACTATGCAACAAAATTTGGTATTTTTTTTCTGTTCCTGGTTTGAAAGCATCATTTCCTGTTTAATTYTGTYGTATTTACTTTGAAAGTAGTTSTTCTACMRCAGAAATTRTGTWCTTGTGGSTGCCACAAYCTAGGTTGAKTTGGTTGAGACCCWATGAGATAGTCATTCATTGAATGGGTTGGGACTWGSTTAAAWAAGTATAGCAAAAATTATTTATTTATTTAYGTAAAGGTAAAGGTTGTTCCCCTGACATGAAYTCCAGTCYTGTCCGACTCTGGGGGTTGGTGKTAATCTCKATTTCTAAGCCGAAGAGCCYGRGTTGTCCGTAGACACCTCCAAGGTCATGTGGKCAGCATGYCTYCATGGKGCGCCYTTACCTTCCCGCCGGAGCYGTACTTATTGATCTACTCACATTTCCATGTTTTCAAACTGCTAGGTTGGCAGAAGCTGGGGCTGGCAGRGYAAGCTCACGCCACTCCCCGGATTCGAACCTGCGACCTTTCGGTCAACAAARGCAACAGCTCAGCGGTTTAACCCACTGTGTCACCYGGGTCTCCCACATTTATTTATTTGAAACATTTCTARTCCGCCCTTCTCACCCTGCAGGTGACTCAGGGCGGAGCACAACATATATACGACAAACATTCAATGCCGGAACATAAAACCATAAATGTATACGAATATTAAAATCACTTATAAACACTTCAAATTCAAACCATCTCAGGACCCCATTCGATTATTGCCTCCTTGCACTGCCCCAAAGGCTCGGTCCCGCAGCCAGGTCTTCATCATCCTTCTGAAGGACAGGAGGGAGGGGGCTGATCTAATATTGCCGGGAAGGTAGTTCCATAACCAGAGGGGCAATCACTGAGAAGGCTCTGACTCTCGTCCTCACCAAATGTGCCTGTGATCGTGGCAGGACTGAGAACAGGGCCTCCTCGGAGGATCTTAATCTCCGCAATGGTTCATAGAGGGAGATGCGTTCGGACAGGTAAATTGGGCCGGGGCTGTTTATATAAAAGTTGTAAATAAATAAATAATAAATAAACTCCGGAACTCCCTTCCACTGGAGATCAGAACTACCTCTTCTATCTTGACATTCAGAAAACAGGTGAAAACATGGCTCTGGAAACTGGCATTCGAAGAATGAGTCAAGATCCTGTGATATGGATGGATGTTGACGAACAGCGATTTTATGATGACGACTGACCATAGTAATGTAATTATATGACTGTATATTTGCTTTTTAATGTTTTAGCGTAATTTGGAATATGATGTTTTCAATGATTGTTTGTGATATTGATGTTGGAAACCGGCCTGAGTCCCTCGATGGAGGTGAGAAGACCGGTATACAAAACTGCTAAATAAATAAATAAATAAATATGGCTTTATAGGGCAAAGCCAGCACTTTGAATTGTGCCGGGTAGCAAAGGGGTAGCCAGTGGAGATGACGTAACATGGGAGTTCTTTGCTCCCTGTATGCTGCCCCAGTTATTAGCCTGGCTGCCTCTTGTTGGACTATCTGAAGCGTCCAAACAGTCTTCAAAGGCAACCCCACATAGAGTGTGTTGCAGTAGTCTATCCTGGATGTAACAAGTGCATGGATCACTGTGGCCAAATCTGACTTTGCAAGGTATGGGTGCAGTTGACACACAAGTTTTAATTGTGCGAAAGCCACCCTGGCCACCACCGCAACCTGAGGTTCCAGGCTCAGCAATGAGTCCAGGAGGACCCCCAAGCTGCGAACCCACGCCTTCAAGGGGAGTGTAACCCCATCCAGCACAGGCTGTAACTCTAGACCCTGTTCGGCCTTGCGACTGACCAGGAGGGACAATACTGAGCTCTGAGGGACACCACAGGACAATGGCTGCGGGACCAAGCAGGTGTCCCCCAACAACACCTTCTGGGTATGACCCTCCAAGAAGGACTGGAGCCACTGCGGAACAGCCTTGCAAGTGACCCAGAAGGATACCATGATCTACAATATTGAAGGCTGCTGAGAGGTCCTGGAGAACCAAAATGTACTATAATAGCAGAATATCCCACCAAAACAAAGTTTTTGCAGTTTATTAAACTGGGTTGTTGTAGGGTTTTTTGGGCTATATGGCCATGGTCTAGAGGCATTCTCTCCTGACGTTTCGCCTGCATCTATGGCAAGCATCCTCAGAGGTATTATTAAACTTTTCCCATGTTTTATGATAGAACTAATTAGGAAATGATATTTATAACCCAGGAACAAAAGTCATGTTGCACAGTGTAATAAGAAGTCCCCAAATGGAAGCCATTGGGGGTAAACCTATATCCTTACAGGTTCAGCCAGCAGGTCACAAAGGATTCGTCCATCTCTTCTTCAGCCAAACGCCTCATTTCCGCTTCGTCCCTTTCGCTCAATGCCCCATCGCTGAACATGATGAGCAAGGGTTTCTCTAGCTGGAAAAGCTCTGGCAGGTTTCTCACAGATATTTCTGGCTGCGGAAGGAATAGTGAGAAGAACGGAAGGAAAGAGGTGAACATGACAT